GCAGTATTTTGCACAAATAATAATACATGTAAATACAGGACCACCGTGCGGAAGAAGTCAATCGTATACGATGGAGTGGATTAGGTTTCGCACCTGAGCGCCATTGGATGTGTACGACGGACTTGTTTGTAGTTGCGACTATAAACAATGCAATTGTGTACTTTTACGGTGCAGGAGAAGAGAACCAGTCGCTAAACACTTCAGGGTGGACTATACTACCTGTCACTGGTGAGGCAACATGTCCGGCATATCAGATTGGGGTATGTCACCTTGGTATTTACAAGCACTTCATTCGGATAAATTTGGACGGTGACTTTCCAGTTCCACCAATCGATAATAGGTGGACTAAGGAACATGATCCTAGCGTTGCTGGTTGGGAATTACCACTTCTTCCTAGAATTCAAGAATGGTATAGGTTGGTCCCCTTCAATCCTCGACGACCCGTGGATGATAATGATTACATTCATCTTAGTTTCTTATATTAGATCCATGTTGGTTTGTTTGTTGTGATGATGATAATGGTGTTATCTATTATCTAATTTGTTTGTTTTTTATGTATTGTACAATAACATACCACAGGGACATACTGGCAAAAAAAAAAAAAAAACTAAATCTAGTCCAAGAAAAAAAAAATTAAACAAATCCAGTCCAAGAAAAAAAAATAAATAAATCCAGTCCAAGGAAAAAAATCCATGATTCTAGTTCAAGGAAAAGAAAATAAAACACAATCTACGACACTGATAATACTCATGGGGCCTTGTAATAACGGACCATCGTATCCTGCAGCTTCTCATCATATTTAGCAGCTAGATCGCGATCGGACACTTTGACCTTTTTAATCAGGTCCCTAGTGATTTTCCTCAATTCATTCATCCACTGAAGAAAAAAAAAAAAAAAAAAGAAACCAAAAAAAGGTTAAACTATATATAATATAGAAATGTATATCTCAAAAAAAAATGTAATTAGAAATACAATTTGCATAATCCTGACTGCTCCTAGCTGGTGTGAGTTTGAAGATGGGTCTGTTGTCGGCAGCAGAAATGGATGTGAATACTGCATGTACTATTCAAGGTACCCCTCTTCACACTCTCCTATGATCTTACCGAAATTGAAGCGCCTCGAACCCAAATCAATACACCCTGACTTCGGGAATCTTCTCCAAGTAATGAGTGTGTCAACAGCTGAATGCTCTACAAAGTACTGGATAGTTCTGGGTCCTCGAAATGCATCATCAGGGGACATGGGCGAACGAGGAATATTCTGTACGTAGCCAATCTGACATAAAACTCTGTCCGGCATGTATGGCTCCTGCAAGTTCCTATACATTATCCACCCACTGTAAATAGTCATCGGAACTATTCTTTGTTGGCCCTGTCCAAATGGCTCCCACTTTACCTGCAAAATATTATTTATATTATTTATAAATATAAATTTAAAAAAAATGAAATGCAGTAAAAAAAAAATATGTACCTCTAACTCGGTGAACCTGTCGAGACGCTCCCTAACCTGACGAAGACGATCTGGCACAGATATCGGCCTCGCATAAGATGGTGGTATCCAGTCATGTACCCTGGGTCTATAATTACCCCAACTACTGGTAACTCACCCTCCCTGGGGGCGGAAGCACGGGAAATACTCGTAAATCTAAGCCTGCAGTAGGGTCAAATAACCACCTAACTGAGTGCACTTTGCCCTACTAGCCATCCCTAACTGATGGTATAGGAACGCAAGCGTAGCAGAGCCCCACGAGTATGAATCCATATTTTCGATCCCAGCCATAAGCTCATTTACAAGTGAAACACTGCACCTCCCACCACTCTTGCCCATGAACAATGTCGAGGCTAACAATACCCACAAGAAAGCAGAGGCCTGGGTATTCTCGTCCGCTTTCTGGTATCGCTCAAGGATGAACCAATCAGAGATACCGCCATGACTCCATTTGTAACCATTCGAATCCAATCCAAGTATTGCTGTTGCATGTCCCCTCAACACATTTGTCTCGGGCGTACCTGACACCAACTCTCCATCAACCCCAATGCCCAAAATATGATAAACATCATGCATCGTGATGGTCATCTCCCAGAACGGCAAGTGAAATGAGTTTGTGTCCGGCTGCCACCTCTCAACAAATGCACTTACTAAGCCAAGATCAATACCATCATACGAGGTATGAAGAAGATGACCCCATCCAATCCCCCGAATCTTGCCTTTTACTATATCATCCATATTGCTATACCACAACTTTAACTTATTGAGAATCTTTCTCCTTTAAATATCTTCAGGATGGGTCTATGATATCCATGCCATAAATGATAAGCAATATGCCCAAGAAAGCTAGGAATCACGCTACCATCTTTTGACCCACCAGGTACTTCATCTGTCACTAGCCATATAGTCGGATCAATTTCATCAGAAACTCTCGACTGGCTGCTGCCGCCTGTACCATGAATAAGTAAACCAAATATTATTTATAATACAACAATTCAATAAATACAATTGAAAAAATTTAATTAAAAATAATTACATAATTTTCAATAATTACAAAAATTAAATATAAATAATTAGTACCTGATGATGCAATAATGGTAACAGGACGTGTAGATACTCCAGTGGAGCCGGGACATCAGCGAGGGCACACAGGATCAATGAGAGGGGGCGGGGGGGGGAGGACATGTAGATACTCCAATAGAAACAGGACCTCCGCAAGGGATCACGAGATCAATGAGGGGGGGAGATGCCTGACTAGCGCGGGAGGAGGCCGACTACTTGTGGATATACCCTATGGGAATTGAACAACACCAGGGAAAGAGGGACTACAATGTGGACTGCACCACTCACCACTAATAGGAGAAGGGGTAGGGGCAGGGGGAGAGTGTAAACCTCCAGGACCAGGCCGTGGACAACGAAACAAGGGAGGAAGGTAACTACTAAGATTGTACATAGGTCGATCTCTGTGATATGCACCCATCCTAACATTGTCTTGCACATCATCCTCATCAAACTCACTCTCCTTATCTTCATTCTCCTCTTCCAGGTCATCCTCAGAATACTCGGGTACATTAATCGGCTGACTAGACCGAGTCTCAAACGGTACACCACCCATATTTACCTGAGTCATTTTCATTTGCTTCTTTAACTCTTTTTCCTCTCTTTTCTTTCGAGACTCATGGTCAAATAACACGCACAAACCTTACGCTTACTAGTATCTTCAGTATCACCAGTATCACTATCATCATTATCATCACAATAAGCCTATAAACAAAATTTTAGTCATCATCATCATATTTTCCTAGTCTAAACAAATAATTATACAAATTTCCTAAATACTAAATAGTTTAATAATTAAGTACACTTTGATTAAACGTACAATTCATATAACAAAGTAATTATATACATAATATAAAACTAATTATCATACAATAATTAACTACACTAATTTACTATTCATTAAAGTAATTATATACATAATATAACACTAATTATCATATAATAATTAAGTAAACTAATTAATCTATTGTACTTAATTATAAACTAAAATACTTTACAAACTATTTATTAAATTACTATTAATTATAATTAATCCAATAAACTAAACTAATTTATAAAATATTTATATAATCATAAACTACATTACAAATAAATTAGATTAACTTCTACTATTAATTAAATTAATCCAACTTAAATAAATTTATTTACACAATTTAACTAAATATTAACAAACTAATAACCGATTAATCTAAATCACAAACTTTTTTAAACTAATTACAATAAATATATTAAATTATAGAAACTAATTACATTAAATTATAAACTAAATTAGTAAATTAATATATTACACATAACAATAAAAAACTAGTAATGAATTAAAACTTTAAAAATTCAAAATTAAATTAAACTAAAAAAAAATTCTGACCGGACCGATCTTGGACCGGGCTCATCCCGGGCCAAGCTGCAAAAAAACGCCGCCAGAAGGGCCAAGGAAGCCGTCCGGCGGCGCCGACCGGATGGCCGGCAGCCAGAATTTTATTTTTTTTTTCATTTTCTTCTAAAAACCCCCAATTTTGAACAAGAAAAATTTACCTGTGATGAGATCGGCTCTTTCCCGATCGGCTCTTTCCCGCTTAATTTCTTCCGTGGTGCCATTAATTTTGGCTCCAAATAAGCTTCAATTTGAGATTTGAAAAATTAAGGAGTTATGTTTTCTCTTTTTTTTTCTTAGGTGAAAGTTTGAAATGAGAAGGGCAAAATCGAAATAAACAAAAAATGATGTCTTCAAATACCAAAAGTAGTTACTTCAAAAACTAATACCCTAAATAAAATACTCCCTTCATTTCAAAATTATTGTCCAATTTAAATTTTCAATTTTATTGTAAGTCGAACTAAAACTGAAAATCTAAACAGGAAAATAATTTTGGTTTCCAACTTATGATTCAAGAATTTTTACATGGTTAAAGTATTGTAACCGACAAAATACACTTAAACTAGAAATTCGGCAGTTCAGTTACAAGATCCTATCAACCCAAAACGGAGGACAGCTTAACAAAATCAAATCACACAAACATTTTCTGTTACAAATGGAGATTACTGAGAGATCAGTCAAACTACAGCTATGGTACACATTGCCATCCCCTAATATATGGTTAACACGCACACGAAACAAAATTTATAAGAATCACTTGCCGTAGCCTCCATACACAAATTATCGAAACATCCTTTCGCGTGCTGAAGAAAGACGACTATCTGAAGTGATCACCATATCACAGAGCATACTTCTCTCGCCAGTAAGAACAAAAGAATCATATGTCAACAAGAATAACCACCCATCACCTTCTGTTGTGGAGGTTTATTTACTCATTTAGGAGCATGTACACTTCTAACTTCTTCTCACTGCTAGCTCCACTCCAAAGATTTTGCTGAGCAGAAGTGTAAATTAGTATCCTCCCTTAAGTATTTTCTCAGTGTCTTCCATATCACTATTATGTAAGGTATGTACACCTTCACTATCCAGAATTGCCAGCAACCTCGGCTGCACGCTGCCTCATCATTTCCATTACAGCAGCTCTTCGTCGGGAATCCGACTGCTGTTGCAGCCTCTTTAAATGTTCCTTCAGATCTCTGCAATATTGTTGAAGCAAAGTACAGGTCAAGTAATACAGCTATTGCAAGTAGAAAACCGTTCATTTCTGTTTGCAACTACCCCCCTTCTCTCCTTTTCTCTCTTCCCCACACCCCACACCCACCCGAACTAAAAAGAAAATAGAAAAGGAAAATGAAAACAGACCTGCACCGTGGAACATGGCATTCAGATTCCCTACATGCACGGGCATGAAGTTGAAGGAGATACCACATTCTCTTACACAGAACACAGCCACCAGAAGCACGAGTCTTGCATTGTATTCCATGCCGGAAAAGCCCTTTAACCTTCCGGCAGTTTGGATATTGGCATTGTGGAGAACGACATTGAGATGCATGCACAAGAAGATCGAGCATTTTCCGGAGCTACAAATTGGAGAAGCCAAATCACATCAGGCTCAAAACATCATAGTAACCCCCAACTATATTATTCCCCATTCAGGATCAACCACATGATAAAACAAACCCAAACATACCCAAAGTTCCTTAACAACTAAGCACGCCTCGAATAAATTATCTCCAAAAGTATGCAGGCATATAGAAAGAGTAATCAACTATCATATCTCTACATTTCAAGGCAACAACCAATCAAACAAACAAAAAGGATCCAGAACAATATATTTCATCCCTAACTTGCAGAGGAAGAGAGATAACTAACCTCTAAAAATAACGCAAAATAAGCAAATGAAAGCCTAAGCTAATATTGCCTCAAAAAAAACACAAGGTACAGTTCAACAAGGTTTCCAGATTTTAGAGGGTGCTGACAAGGGCTAGTTTATTTGAGTTCTGGTAACTAAATGTACCACGCATGTTCTTTCATTTGCAGAAACTTTCAGCAGTCATTACAAATCTTAATCAGATACTTTTTGAATAAAAGTTGCATTGTGATCTGGCAGAAGGTAGGTGTTTTAAGAACAATGACTACTAAGTAGGAAGAGGAGAGAAACACCTGCAAAACTCGCATTTGTCTAGCTTCTTTGTTTTGTGCATCACGTTCGGCCGTTGATGGATGATTGGTCAATTTGTGAGGATGTTCAATTCCACCTTTCTGGTAACATGCATTGCATATGTCATATTCTGGACAAATCTCGCAGCGCCAGCCTTGACCAGCTTCAATGTCAAGGTAGCACAAATTGCAGGTTGTCACAAATGCTGGCGCAGTCGGATTGTGAAGATGGTAGAGGACCATCATTGAGGAATGCTTAGCACGACGAAGGGTATCATACTGATAATGATTTCCTTGACAAAGACTCAGGAATGCCTGCCTCGTGTCAAAGAACTCACTTTCCAGAATTTCATCCCTGTCTTTTGTATCAGCTGGCACATCATTAATCTCAACCTGAACCATACATCCATATTATCAGACATAAAGAATTTCAAAAGATCTCGACCTGGAAAATTCATAATTAAAAGAACTTACCGGATAAAGTAAATGTTTATCTTTCTGATGGATGGGATGTCTTTCTCTGTCTTCCAGATTTTGCTCAGCTTCGTAACATCTGCAGTTGTTTTTCCCCCAAAGCAAAGGCGAGATTCAGCAATTTGATGAAGAAAGAAGAATAAACTAACCCATTTAATAATCTAAACAGTGCCTTTGAACATTAAATTGGCAGCCACTAGGTTTTGAAACTACAGTGGGTGCAGTTCTAAATACCAGAGACACTAGTGTGCCCGTTTAGCAAAGAAATTCCACAGACATCAACATCGATATACCCCCTTCATTTGCATCATAGAGCCTTTCATTCCCAACCTCTTCACTAATTTAGTCACACCGACGAAAAGCAGAAATGACCAAAGCCAGACATATGTCATGCTTAATTGAACACTTCTAAAAACTGATTTTAGGGTTGTTAACTCAAAAATAGGACAACCATTAAGTTATAATTTTGGGAAATAGTCTCTTTTCCTGCACCTATATAGTTTAACAATAGAGAAAGTACTTTGCAATAATGGTGATGAGTTGCTCTCAGGGAAATTAGCTCACTTTATTTTAATTCCTTCGTTTTTGCATATTGACATTTTTCATTGGGAAAAAAAAAACCAAAAAAAAGTACAAGGAACTCTAATGAAACCTCAAGAGCAGATTTCTAACCTGTCACAAATCTGGAAATTTTTGCATTGTTTGCACACCCAACGCTTTCCAGACACCATCAATATGCAACAATGAGTACAGCAATGTTGCAAATGAACCATGATAAAATCCTCCTTCATTGGACTGATAGTCTCGCCCAGCTACAACAGGCAAAACCGCATGAAAAAGAAGTCCACATACAAAAGTTATCAAAATATCTAATCAGATTGAACAGAAAAATAACGTTAAACCAGTTCATTTCTGACGTCTTACTTTATGCATTAATAACAAGTCCTTTGATGCATTGCCAGAAAGATCAGTCTGGCCAGAGGCTTTCAATGCTCTTTTCGTGATTGTCTTTTTTATGGTTCCCTTCTTATGCTGTTTCCTCCCATCTTCCTCCTGTTGCAGTACTAGGAGCATATCCTCGGCAGCTCCAGGCCAATAATCACCATCAAAATATGGTAACCGAGCAGCTGTTACCTTAGCTTTACATTCACCGGTGGACACGAAAAAATGGTCATATAAATTAGTGAGATCCACAACAATATTCTCTTTTGCAGCTTTTCTCAACATCGCCAAGTACCTGAGACGACAAAAGGTATAATACTGAATATTCATAAAAGACAACGATATAATCGTCATATACAATGGAAGTTTCTTCTGCTCACCACTCCCTAAGTTTGTCAGATTTAGGTGTCTTCTGTATTTCTGGATGGCAATATAAAATATAATCTTCGCCCTTCAGTGGAGGACAAGCCCATATGTAACAACTAGTAAAACCCCGCTTTTTGCAGTATTCAAGGTATCCAATCTGAGTGAAAATTGGGAATACCAAAGTCGTCAATATGGTGACCGAAAATCTAAAACAAGCAAAAGCAGATTGCAAGCAAACAAAGCAATAGCAGACCAGAATTTCATGGTAGACAAATGTTCGAAGAGCTTCCCCCGTAACTGTTTTGACCTCTGGCCTAAAGTACTTCACAGAATCGAGATACGAAAGATATACACGTCGATGATTTGGCTGCTGACACTCTGCTCCAAATTCTTGTACGTACATACCAAATAAGCATACTTCAACACCTTCAATCTTTTGAAACAAGAGTAAAACCTGGAAAATAAAATCTCTTAGCTCCAATTTCAAGGAGATTGACGGGAATGAATTTACTTCCATTAACACTGTTTGATTACTAAAAGCAGTGAAATAAACATGAAGTGGAATTCCATGCTTACCAAATTTAACCCAAAGAACTGGTAACACCTAATCTCACAAGTACTGGGGTGGGAAGGTTGGGTGGGAAGCTTGGGTGGGGTGGTTAGCGGCCGAGGATGGGGATGGTTATACCAGTAGGTCAAGAGTTCGATTCTTGTTGGAGCCATCCAATTTTTTAGTGGGGAAAAAAAAAACAAAAACATAATCTCCCAAGTACAAACTAAGGAAAAATGCAGAGTCTGATGAAGGTTTTGGCCCCTGTATCTTCCCGGGTTTGAAAAAGGATTGTTGGGCGGAATGCGAAGGAAGCAAAAGTGACCGAAAGAGGCGACCAACGTTACCTTTGATTTATACGGAAATTCCAATGGATAGTTGTCCTCTTGGAAAATTTCGAGAAATCGTGACTTAACATCCAACTTCTTGTCCACTGAAGATACTACTCTTACAACAAGTCCGTCTGCTCCAGGAACCTGTCAACAGTTAAAAAGAATTCAAAATTGTAATTCCCAAGATAAGAAGTTCATGCCACACAGGAGCTGGGAGAAAAAGCAAAGCCTAGAACAACTTAACTTTGATGCACAGAGAAATGTGGAAGGTGAAATAGATTTGACATGTAAATGTTGTAATGAATACAACCAAGTTGAACAAGGAACTGAAAGATAATACAGCATTAAACTCAAAGAGACTGGCATAAAGTTGCTACAGATGAAGTAAACACAGATTCGAAGGAACTTATAAATTAATATGGGACCACCAAAATTTATTAATTTAGAGAATTATTAAATAACCGATAAATTAATAGATTATTAGTTTAAAGAATTTCTATGAGAAAAAAAGAACCGTCACTAAATTACGTAATTTGCAATTGTCTTTACATCCAAACCAATCAAGTATTAAAACTCTTCTGAATATTAAAAATCTATACGTGCTTGTTTGGATGTCAGCTTACATTTCATTTTGCCACTTAAAAGTGGAAAGTGTTTCAAGTTGAAAACTAAATGGGAAATGAAAATGTTGTTTGGATGATATTTTGAGCAAAAAGTTGTTTGGATGTTGGCTTTGAAAAAAAATATTTTGAACTACATTTTGAAATATCAAGTACGAGTCATCACTAAACAATTAATACCTTTAAAAAAAACATTTCCAAAAACAATCACTAAACAACGGAATCCTGCCAAATTTGTCACTGAACTATTGTTAGTTCTAAAATGGTCATTACACTAACAAAAAGTGTTTCAAGTTAGAATTTAAAATGTAAATCAGAATTGGGACCCAATGTAACCCAATGTTTTTTTGTACATTGGGTTTGTGTTTAAGAGGTAAAATGAGTTAAAATGAAAAATGAGTGAACAAACAAACAAACATGTTCATATCATCTCCAGGGACTAAAAAACAAGTATCAATAGTTCATATTTTACTAAATATCTATAGTTATTGTTATTATTTTTTTGCTTTTAGGGTATTTATTAATTTAATATTTTGTTGGGACCTATAGATATATATATATATATATGAGATTTTCTGAAACATTATATCGAATCCTTTCATCGATTTTTTCCTCTTTTTGTACTGGCCCGAAGTTGGGACTAGAGGAAATTATTAATCATTGGAAGTTATTAATTTATAGATTATTAATTTACCGACGTTCTACTGTATGTTGTTTAACATTCATTTATTACTATGATGCTCTGCAACAGAAGTAGCTTTAAAAGAAAGGAGAAAACAAAGATACTAAAGGCAGTTCCCAATAGTTCTGAAGCACATAGGAGAGGTAATCATAACAACATGTCAACGCAGACTTTTAAGGAGTTGGATCCAGAACACAGAAAAGTAAAAAAGAACAATTAGTAGACAAAGATAAAATATCAGAGTTATAACCTCATCAATGCTCTTTCCTTGAGCATTTGCTCTCTCTTGTCTTTCATGCTTCAGCCGCCTTGCCAACCGCATCTCAATCTGGTCGCTGAGAATGGTTCTAGGTAGATCTTTTGCTCCAAGAACAGCACTTTGAGGCAACGGTTTTCGCTCACCTCTTTCCACCTCTTGTATGTAGCAATTTGGACAAGTGTACTCAGCTTGTCCACCGTCATTCCTTCTACCATTGAACAAAGCACAAATCTGATGTTGCCAAGCCTCGCACTTGTCACATTGAACCCACTGTACAGAAGATTAAAGTAGTAATCAACATCACATATATCCTCACAAGCCACAACTGAAAACCCAAAAAGAACACCACCCCAGCATCCCATCCAAAAAAAAAAAAAACCCTGGTTTGTATACCCATTCTTCAGTCTCCTCGTCATTTTTCTTCTTCTCAAGCCTCGCTTTGGGGATAGCTGTACCATCAACAATGATGGTGTCACCGCGAGGCTCGTTGTTGTAGCATGGAATACAAAAGTAATGCCGTGTATCACCAGTACCAATCGTGTAGTACATTGCATTTCGTTTGATTCGGCTATTGCAAGGGGTGCAATATATAGGTGGTGGTTCAAAAGTTAGCTTCTCAACAGCACACAGCTGACAAGAATTTTCGCTCATGGATTGCTCCATTGCTTGATTCTTTTCTGCTTTTGCTTTACTCTGTACAATTAAAAACAATACATCAATTAATAGGAGCATACATCATAGACACATCAATACTTCAAATTATTTGCAATGAAATAAATAAGCTCACTTCACAATGTGTCCCGTAATTAATATGATAATATTCGTGCCTTCCAGCTATTATCATGATAAACATAGCGAAATAAGAAGCATTTACCTGGCCAACCCACTGTCTGAGACCTTTAATGTGCTCTCTAACTTGTTCCGGAGTGAAGAGCTCAGTCAATGACACACCTTTAATTTTGGGTTTCCCAGACTTGGATGCACCTGCGTGATCAGCAGGCAGTGACGAGTTCACTTCCTCTTTAGCTTGGTTGGTTTCTTTCTCACTCTTAACACTACCCTGTTTTGCTAGACCAGAAGTGCTCGAAATAATAGGTGGATCAGCAGTATCAGGCCTTTTCATATAGGAATCATCCATGTTATCCTTCTTCATGAGATTACTTTTTGGACTTCCCGGTCCAACATTCGCAGGTTCTGCCTTTACTTCTATCATCTCTGATTTCATAGCAAGAGTTGTCTCAACAACAGTTGTAGTTTGCTGAGTATTGTGAAGTACTTGGGTCTCCATGGTGCTGACTGGCACAACAGCACTTTCAATTTCATGACCTAAAGACACGGAGGATTGCTCAATCTTCATGCGTTTGATAGATGGTTGCAAGTCTTGAGGAGTTTCAACTATAGTCTTCGAAATTTGCCTACCCGGATGATCTCCAGTGTCAGATTGTCTAAGTGATCCGTTGACTACTCTAGGGAAACCCGAACCAAAATGAGGACGACTAAGTGCCTTGAATTGTGCTTGTAAAAATTTTTTCACAGGAATGCAAACAGGGCAACTAGCACTCTTACACCTCTTATAATGGCTGATTAAACCCTTTGTGACAGAACAACGAGGGTGTGAACATTGTACAGATTCACATTTTTCCATATGCCTCAACAGCTCTTGGGCATTCATGCAATTCGGATCTGGACACTTACCTACTGGATCAGGACAACGGCGAGCATGCCGCAAAAAGAGTAGCCATCTAGCCTGATTCCAGAACTGCTTTTCACGGGTAAGATCAACCGATCTGCATGCAGCTCCACCCACATTAGAAATCTTATCCACTCTAATGGGAGCAACCGACTGAGCATTAATAGTCCCATCTGAGGGCAGATTATTTTGCTGGGCTTCATCTTGTACAGCTATTCTCTGGCGAAATTCCTCCTGAACACTTCGCTCATGTGGGAAGGCTCCTATATTTTGCGACTGATCATGAGACTCCGTATACCACTGACCCTGTGCAACAGAATCTGACTGAACCCCACCAGGAAGGCAGATAAAATCACTTTGAGAGTCAGCGCCAAACTGGTTCTGATGCATTAATTGCCGCATTTGTTCTGAATTTTGAGCAAGGGATGGAAACTGGTCTTGTGGACCTGATGGAAAAGGAAGCAGTTCTCCACTTCTAGACTGGTCTTCCAATGAATTTTGTCCAAACTGATTCGGCATTTCTGAATACTGAAACTGTTCGCGCATTTGAGAATGCAGATGTCCTTCATTGCCAGGTTCAGTCTTCACTGAAACGCCTAAATCTGCGGATAGTTGAGAGTGGCCAAAAGCATCATTCTTGGCTGAAAGGTGCTGCTGGTGAGTTTGCAGCTTCTGCTGCCGTTGATGGGGGACCATCTGCGCCTGTTGAAATTGATGTGGCTGTTGCTGGAAGTGCTGGAGTTGATGAGACCGGGCAATATTTTCTGGCATAGAATGTTGCGGTTGGAAGTTCTTCTCCATAGAATCAACAGAATGAGCCTTCATGTTTGCCACCTGTTGAGAAATATGTGTGTGCGACTGATTGGAAATCACCGGAGAACTTGTTTTGGGCATAGACTGCAAGGTGACTGCATTCAAATTTTGGTTACTCATCACAGGCATAGAAGACGTTGAAGTGACAAATAAATTTCCAGATCCTGACGAATCGCTTGTGTTAATCCCATATCCATCCCCTGCCAAAATTAAATCCATCCATAAGGCTAAATAAATAAATTCCCATCTCCATACAGAACAAAACTTGTACTTATTATAACTCTTTTAGCGTTCAAGAAGTTTCTCCAAGAGATAACAAGGACAAAAGAAGATAAATTTTGAGGTTCCAACCAAAGTCAGCCAGAACATGATGAGCCCAAGCACGACACTAAACTCACTCATCGCAAATAAACGCAACAAAAGGAGGAGAAAGTACCATGGAACAATGCACGTTGATTTGAATCATAAGGTTGTTGCAACGACTTATGAGAGTTGCCATACATAGATGATCCCGTGAAACCATCTGACGTCCCAGAGCCATTCATGGCATGTTGATTGCCAGACATCATTCCGAGTCCCCCATTTAAGACTCCATTTGATAATCCATATGACTTCTGCTGCATGCCAGGCCTGATTCCGCCACCCATATGGCTTCCAAGATTGTGCAGGATTCGACTGTTTTGACCACCAACATGCTGCTTCTGCGGCATTGGTTGGGGTACCACTGTGGATTCAACATTTGAAAATGCACCAACATTATTGGATGAATCCATATTCATGTATGAATTGCTACCCTGGTTGTTAATATTGTTCATAGCATCACTCCCCGTACTACTGAATCCAGGAGTTGGAATCATTTGGCTCGCCATTCTTTGAGCACCCATGGATGATCCCAAACTATTTCCGCCTGAGTTGATACCAAAATTAGAAGTCGAATGTTGGTATCCATTGACTGCACTGCCTGCACAAAAAAATCAAATTTATAACTCTGCAGAAAAAAGAAGATAATACCTATACTTAATAAGAATATAAGACTTATTTGTACCATCAGATGAGCTGTAAGAACCACCATGTCCAGCACTCAAAGAGGGTCCATGGGCAGTTGGCAATAAATTTTTAGAACTTAGATTAGCAATATTACCACCATTATCCATGGATGACATTCCCATCATGTTTGAGTTACCACTTTGCGGCATGCCAGGTGTTGGTATCATTGTGCCAATGGAAGAGGAAGTATTAACACGTGAAAATTGATTGCTTGGATTACCGGGCAGCCTTTGGGTAAAAAAATGCAGTCGACTCTCCAGGGTTGAAAGATTCAAATATTCCTCCTAATAAGGAAAACTTCAATTATTAACAACAATGATAGAGCAATACTCCAGAAAACAAACCAAAATGTAAGCTCCAAATTTATAGCAAACCACCAATTACCCAAGCCACAGAAAAAGACCATTATATAAGCACAGTAAACAAGAACAAGCATCAAATCAAGTCCATCTAAAACTTTATGTGCAAAATTTGAATCATCACCAATACAAAATACCAAACAGCAAGAAAGAAGGGGAAGGAGAAGGGGAGGGAGGATTATAAACCTTTGAGCCAGCACTCTTGAACAATCCTTCTTCTAAGCGTTTCACTAAATCAAGGATTTTCTTATGGGGCATATCGTGAGCATGCTGCAAACGTTGCACAAGATACTCGAATCTGGAAAGCAAACACATCTGTTATGTTAAGCTATTGCCACAGCTATCCATTACAAAAACTAACTGAATATAAAATTATGCAACTTTTTACAAAAAAGGAATAAAGCGAAGGACAATAAGACAAAGAGAAGGAACAACAGGGAGAAGGCTGAAAGACAATGTCAATAGATGCATCAATTGGTCGAAGAAAGAATGATCTTACATTCTTTCAGCGATCATTTCGCGTGCTTTAACAAACTCGCTATCCACATTCTGCATGTTGCGATGTGCAACAGGATTTTGCATCTGGACAGACAAATTTCCATTCTGCTGAGACATCCCAGTCAAGGATGAAGCAGACTGGTTGGGGACTTGTCCTGAAAGTTGTCCTGACATATGTGCCTGTAGATTCATCTTTATCTTCTAGTAGACTATTAAACAACAAAATCTCAGTAATCCAGCATCCAGGAAATAACTTCATAACAAGAACACAAGTACTTAGTCATCCACACTTAATGAACCGCATAATGTTTAAAGAACACCTGTAAAGAAAACATCAACAGGGGGAGAAAATCAAGAACAGTGCAAGCACTTCAAACTAAGGAGTAAAGAAGGCGTAAGAGTAGATAAATCTAAAGCAACAACCGGGGTTGAACAACAATTATATTTTTTTGCTCAACCCAGTTGAGTCTAAAGATACAGATAATTAAGCCAATACTAACCTCTACATTATATCTCAATTAAATAAAAGATACATCCTTTCTAATTATTTCTTTCCAATTATTTTAGATTTTTAATCTTCACCTCGCCAAAGATACCAACGACAACCTTAATAGAGGAGGTCCAGCCGTCCAGGTCCCAGTCAGAGACCAACCTTTAGTACAAAAGACATTAACTCGTACCACCGCTAGAGAGCAACTTAATAAACATCAGAAAGACATCTAATCATCATACTTTCCTCGAAATAGTAAATGCAAACAAACTAATAGTAGAATTTTGAAAAACACAACTCCAGATGAAGGCCAAAGATTAATAATACTTTGTGTCTCTACAACACACTGGCTTGTGGTTGTGGAATCACTGGTTGCTTAAAATTTCACAAACTAATAAAATCATATTAACATCAGATGAGTAAATGAATTATGAGTAAAGATGTAAAGTAGCTAATGAATTTGTAAATAACCACTCTTCAACTAGCAACTTCTTCACTTCACTACAGTCACAAAATATACATTACTAAAAGATAAAACCTTCATGTGCAGAAACAGGCCTTTACTACAAATGATATTGATTGGTAACTCAAAACAAATGCCTATTTTGAGGCCACACTGAAGCCATCATTAAAAAAACAAATATTCAATAAACCAGCAAACAATGCCAGTCATAATCACTATCGTCTCCAAATAGTACGAACACTTGTATCATTTTTCCAAACTTTAACTCAATCACTAACTTCAGCGCACCCACGGAACATCAAACGGTATAAGATGATCACGATATCATTTTTCCCAACTTTAACTCAATCAAAATCATAGGCAGCCCCCAAACAAAAGTAGCCACGAACAAATGGTCCCACAAGAGTGCGGATGCAAGTACAATCAAAATCGCAGTAACAACGGATGGAAGAGGAAAAACACGGCAATCGAAGGGGAAAGAAGGAAACAGTGTACCTGGAAAAAAACAAACAATATGGACTTTGCCGGAGAGGAGATTAGGGTTTTTTTATCCCCCTTTTCTCCAAATTTTGGGCACTCCGGGATTGAAGAAATCAAAATCCCCAAATTAAGAGTCGAGGTTGATGGAATCGGACCGGAATTGGAATTCCCCCAAAAAAAGAATGGACAACGACGACGTCGGGATCTTCGATTGTTGATCTCCCTCCGGTGACGATGCTCTTGGTTTTTACTTTTTCGGGAATTAGTACTCTAATAATAATTCTATGTTGAATTGTGTAGAAAAGGATAAAAAATTGTACTGGTTTGTATGATTTGTTAATTTTTTGGAAATATATTTTTATTATTAAGTATGGATTATGGCGATTTTTAATGGTTAAACCTATAAGGTTTTATAATACTTTATACAATATATGTGTAAATTCTAATTTCTAATAATTTCAGAATACTATAGAAAGAATCTATTAAAAAAAAAAAAACCCTAACCTTGAACGAGACTCTCAATTATATAAAAGTCTCTAAATAAATTATATCTCAAATTTCTTTTTAAAAAAAGAAAGAAAAATATATCATTTGTCAACTTTTTTCAATATACATCATGCATATATGTATGTATTAAAATTGTCAACTTTTTTCAATATACATCATGCATATATGTATGTATTAAAATGATAAATTTATATCTCGTTTACACATTATCATGTAAAACAACAAAAGTTAGAAGTAACAAAATGAAATTATATATATATATATATATATATATATTACACCAAAAAAATAACAGTTAATCGGTTAAACCAATGGAAGTGATGTCCCAACTGTGAACTGATCCATTTAACCTATAAAAACCAATTAACCAAAACCGTTTAACCACTTTAACCGTCAGATATGGTTACACGATTTGGTTTTGAACGGTTTACGGTTAAATGGTTCTGATTTTTTTAACACACGTGGAAGAAGGATTCAATGAGATGGTTAGAGAACAATAGTGCAAACACTAGTGCGATTAAAATTACAAGGGCCGGATCACATTGATTTTTAAAGAATTTGTATGAACAATAATACAAGGGCTATAACTCACTCTTTGAACTAAAAAGTACTCTCTATGTTCTGAAATTATTGTCTGATTTAGTTTTTTTAGTATAAATTAAACTAAAAATTAAGATCAAATTGGATAATAATTTTAGGACGTATAGAGTACCTAACAAATAAAAAAATATAGAAAAATTGTTGAAAGCAGTTTGTTTATTAATATAGTAGTTGTAATCCCGTGCATTGTGCAGATTATGGTAAATGTAAGTGTTAAATTTTAAGATTAACTTTATTGCATTACGAAGTTCATGAATTGTAGAATACTATTATTAGGCAATTGTGTCTATTTTCACATTGTATTTAGCAGTGCTTCTTGTTTTGATCCATTGTGCGATGAAATATTATTATGCATTTCTTTTAGTATTACCGTAGAACTTTTATAAATTAATAGTGTTGGAACCAATAAAATTTAATTATTTTATAGAATTATTAAAAATGAATACATTAATAAATTATGAATTTAAAGAATTTTTTTTTTAAACAAAAAAGAAAGATTAGGACGATATTCAAGTTCCATCTGTCTCAAAAAAAAACTTAAGAGATATACCCAAGAGGTATGTTTTGAGACAACCAGTGCTAAATAGTACAATGCACCAAAGGAATGAACATATATACCATCCAGTTCCCTAATCTCATCCATCCCCATTTTATTAATTTGAATAGAGAGAGAGCATATTATTTTCTAGCCCTTTTACAAAGCCTTACCTATTATACATTACATTTAAACGTTCAAAGGCTTTTTTTTTTCTTTATTTTTAGATGGAAACTATCTAACTTTGAGGTAAGGAACAAACAGTTTATCCAAGTAAACTTTTTCCCGCACTGAGACCGGAATATCTGTAAAGCAGTTGTATTGTCTTGTAACCCCTTCTGAGGCTTGCTTGACAAGTTCATCTGCGACACTATTAGCCTCCCGATAAATATGAATAATTCTTGAGTGTGAGATCCTCATCATTTCTTGTATCTCTTGGAAATAATGATAATGTTTTTAGGGAAAACCCATTCTTTTCTGAAGGCAGACTGTGATGACTTTGTTATCTGTTTGCACTTCCACTCGTAGCGGTCCTTTTTCTAGGCAACCTCTTATACCTTGATAGATTCCTGCTAGCTCTGCTTCTAGGCTAGTAGCGAAATCCATATGGCTTGCAGCTTCGATGATAGCTCCTTGTTCATCCCTCGAGACATATCCCCATCCCGCTTCGCCTGGTTGTCCCAATGTGGATACGTCTGTATTAAGTACAAACTCTCCATGATCAGGTGGCTTCCACTTGACAACTTTTATTTTCTTTCTTTTCAGCTTTTGCACCTTCATTTTGGAAAGTTCCTCCACTTCTTTTTGTTCTGTAAGAGTTTTTGCTTGGATCTTGTGTACACTCAACGCGTGAGAAATATTAGCAATAATATTATTAATCAAAAAATCACGGGAGAAAGAGGTACATTTGTAGATTATTTTATTTCGGAGTTTCCATACTTCCCATAACAAAAAGATGGGTGTGACCATTATGATTGATTTTTTTTGCCGTTGTGTAACTTCTTATGAACTGCCATAATTGGAGAAGGCTCCACCATCTTGTATTATTGTGAGAGATAATCCCCAAAATTACAACAAAATGATGCCAAATTGGAGTTATTCGCGGACAGCCATGGAAAATGTGGTCAATATTTTCATCAACAGCTTGACAAAAAGGGCACCTAGAAGAATTCAGCATCAAAATCATTTTTCTCAAGACCTCTGGAAAAGGAAACAAATGGTTATAAAGCCTCCAAACCAAAAAAAGAAATTTTTATAGGTGAGATTTTATTCCAAAATTTGTTTAAACAAGGAAAAACTTCTCCGATTTGCCGAGTCTCTTTATATATAGGCCGAAACTATTGTAAACTCTCCAGTTGAGGAAGGTGTTCACACAAGCTTATCTACTTCTTCCGTAAACATAAGCTCCAAGGCGCGCAGCTTTACCGTGACATCATGTTGAAGCAGTCCATCGAAAGACTGCAAGGAAAAAGATTTCGATTGAAAGAATTCCCGGATTGTTAAGTCGGGATCTGGTGGTAAATGATCTTCAGGCCAAATCGCGAATGATAATATCCATCTGTCAAACCAAAAGGACGAGGAGCCATTCATGATTTCGACCTTTGATCTCGGAAAAGCTAGATGATTAACACTCTGAATTCGTGTCCAGCTTGTCCTTCCTTTGACGAAAATGGAAGAAAGCGGAAATAACAGAAGGGGTTTGAGCTTTGAGTAGAACACTCACGTTGCAATGGTCTTCTGTTTGCCGAAACAACGAAGAAACAAAACGAATGACATTGATGAATTTCAAAATAATAGAAAACTTTGACCAACAACCAAACAAGACTGCGAGACAGAAGAAGCAGACGGCCAAAATGGAAAAAGAAGGGGTCCAACCAGCATCCGCCACGTCACTAATTTCGGAGGGAAACTGGCAAAAAACCGTGCCACAAATGAGGATTCCCGTCTTATATTACGAAGATATATATATATATATAGTTAATGATGTGGAGAATTGTCCCCTTCTATTTTATTGCCTTTTTCTTGTTAAAATTTTATTATTTGATTTCAAAATAAACAAATTAGGGCTTAGAATTTAGGATTTTTAAATTTAATATGAATTCAATTAGCAACTCTAAACTCTAAACTTTAAATAATAGTGATCATTATATTATTTTTACTGGCTCTATTATTGTTTTACCAAATTAATTTTTAATTATTTAAAAATATTAAATGAATTAGGGATCATGAGATTCAAAATGCAAAATTTAGTAAATAGATGAATACTTTCACACGTATCTAATTCTCCCCTTCCTCCTTTTTTTTATCGTACGCAATACATGATACTGAAGGTAAACAAATAATCAGTACTAGATGCTTGGCCCAGGCAGATGCCCGGCGCCCCTCTACTTTAATTTTATGTTAATAGATAAATGAATTCTTGATTTGGAAAAAATAAAATAGCTACACATTTAGTTTTTTTTCCTTTTTTAGCAAAAAATAATTATAAAAATAAAAAAATCATCTGCCAAAGGAGAAAAAATATTAAAAAGTACAACGATTCAGAAATCATACAAAAGAATATGGAGTAATAAAGGGGATAAGTTTATGGACAAATTTAAATACTATTTTAATTTGATTGTTAAATGATAAATGTTAGGAATTAAAATTGTGTAGCTATTTTTGTAAAGTAGCTTTTGTTTTTCCGGATAAGAATTTTTTTTTTCTTTTAAAAATGAACGACACATGGCAGAATGTTTAATGCAATATAGTGCATTTGGAGCTAAAAATTTTTAATAAGAAGTTACCACATCAACATCATGTATTCTGTTTTAATAGGGTAAAAGGGATAAAAGAGATGACTCAAACTCCTTTTCCACACAACAAATGAAGTAGTGCATTTTAACGATTAAGGAAGATAAAAGTATTGCATAAATCAGAAATGAAAGAGTGAAACTTTATACCACTCAAATTTTTCCCAATATATATATATATTTTTAAAAATAGATCTACCCACTATATTTAAACTCTTCAATACAACCTACTTAATGACTTTTAACCCTATAATCCTGATGTTTTACGTAATATATTGATTATTACATGAATCTGATCAAAGATTTATAGGTTGAGAATTGCTAGAAGTCAAGTTATGTCGCAATAATTAACAAAGAATCAAAAGAATTACTATAATCCAAGATACATGTAGCAGAAATCAACTAGGAACGAAAGATATTTAAACACAATAGTTATGAAACATAACCTTCATATTTTTATGAAACATAACCGTAATTGTACACATAATTATTGATTACCTATATAAAAAACTAATAAATAAAATAAATATTATAACTAATAAATGAAACCAAAATAAACATTAAATTAAATTTAATTAAAATATTTTTAATCGTAAATTAATTAAAAATGAAAAAATAAAAAAAACTGTCGGGCGTCCGTTATACGTGCCGCCCGACGGAAATACGCACTCAGATTCTCGCGCTCTTCCAAGTGCCCGCATCTACAGCCCAGAACGGGCGCCCCCTTCGTTGGCAAGGCGTGCGTAATGCACGCTTTCCGGTGAAAGCGGCGTCCAAAATTGACGCCGTTACTCCTGGTGAAGGCGTATAGTGGGTCGGGCACGAGCGCCGGATGTCTGACCCAGTAGTTTGATTTTTTTTTTCATCATTTTATTAGATTTTCAGGATTTTTTTTTTTTTTTGTTTCCGGATTTGCCAAGAAATGAGTTCTCTGGGTTTAGAAGGTTGAGAGAAAATGAGAAAAGTTGATGGGGGTTGGTTATTATGGGAGGGGTAAAATTGTCAAAGGGGCTGAACTAGAAAAAAGGGAGCTGAATTTAGAAACCCACTTACAAGAATGGTATAAAAATTAAAAAGAACCTTTGTACGTATATTTTTTAGTGGTAGATATCTTACGGGGGAGGGGTTATATAACTGAAAAGAAGATTTTGGGCGTGAACCGCCTCTTGCCTCCGTCCCTGTCCCTCAAAGAGGCCGGTCCTTCCTGGCTGCCTCCGGCTGACTTCTGGTAAAGCTTACTCAGTTTTGAATCCCTAAATTAATTCTGAGTCCTATACCTTTGTTCATTTGCATTCATGTTTGCTTCTGTACGTATCAGGAGATAGCTGGAGTATCTTTCGACCAATTTTTGCATCAATAAATTTGCAAAAATGGCTGATTTATTTAATTGCTTTCAACCGTACACGCTTCAACCGAGCATAAAAGTGAAGATATGAGTGTATAAAGTCGTAATAAATTGCCGAATCTACGGAATGCATCTTTTGAAAAATAAAGAAATTTTACCGTGTCCAAACTGGACTCTAGTTATGAGTAGAGGGTTTGTTTACTTGTTCATAAGAATGCGGAAGTGTACTAATCTTGTTATCTGCACACCGGTGTGAATGGAATTGGTTTATCAATATAGTACTATAAGTACTCCGGTGGTTCTTCTCGTCTTTTCCTGACCAATTATTAAATTATATACATGCATATGCTGTTGCAGCTTCTTGGATCCGTTTGAAGTTGTTCATAGCATAATATCATTTACTTCCGAGGAAAAAAAATTTGAGGGAAAGATGATTCTTCCTTTACAAACTGTAAATGGTGGTATCTTTTGGTCTGTCTCATCATCAGCTGCTGCAGTTCCCTTATCACCTTTAGCATCAAACTCCTCCATTTTGCTGCCTTTCCTATCAAAAGTTGCCGCCGCCCTCCCTACTTCAACACTACATGCTCGTTCATCCTGTCTGCAAGCCGCTGTTGGTTCTCGTGAATTGCAGTCTCAGGATGATGATGTGGTCAAGATACCCAGTACTTACAAGGAGGGACCAATTCCCTTCACTAATACAGAATTTGATCGAGATTTTCCCCTCGAAGAATTGAAGGGGAATGCCGAAAGTAGAGGAGGAGGAATTTCAGGAATTCAAGTTCCTCGACCGAGATATATCTCCATTTCCAAGTCAAGACTTTTAGATGCTATCATATCCGAGCTATTTGAGTCACAACTTGAGGCCGACCAGTTTGTTCATCTATCCAAGTAGGACCTTGCTTTCCTGAGTGTTTTTCTTTCTGGTCGCTTTGCACTAAAAAATGTCTTCTGCTGTAGATTTTTCCAGTATGATTAAATTCTTGATTCTAATGAAGTTTGGCCGTTTATACTAGTTGGGTTGGACGTCTAACCAGGTGGGATAGGATATGTTTTAATTGATCTGGCCGTGCATATCATTGTGAGTCTAAAAGAGAACAATAGTATGATGATATTACGAATGTACTGATCAAAACTATAATCAATAATATTTTATTCTATTTTGGTATATAGGAGTTTGTGGATGTCATATGATTGGTGTCTTTGTCATTGACATCCTCTTATCGTCTTATGAATGTAGACGCTTGGATTCTGTCATCCTTGCTGAACACAAACCCATCTTAGAGGACATGCGAGTCGACTATGATCTTACAAATTCTATGGAGAGCCAGGAATCTGTTAATCTACAGAGCACATTTGATTTGAGAAGAAAGAAAGCCTACACTCTTGGAAACCAAAAAGAATTCGAGCTGGATAGGATCAAAGAAAGCAAAATGGATCCTCTGTTGGGTTCTTTTTCTGATGCAGATAGAACAATTCCTCTTGAAAGGTCCCAGTTTATCATAAATGTTATTTTTGGACGTTATCTTCATGTTAAGTTCATATTCTTTTTATACTATTTTCTATTGTCGTATTATTTTCTACATGTGTTCGTATGTTCTAGTAACAAGATAACCACTCTTATGGTATCAGTGTGTATGTTTAAAATAAGTGTTGCATTTTGATGGATCCTCCTTATAGTTATGCTAATCCTTGTGATGGTTTTGGGACTTACAATGTGAAGTTTTGACGTAGATTTGCTGTGCACACCCGTTTTCAGCGTGCTTTCGTGCAACTGCTTTCTAATGCTGAATTTGAAGAATTATCGGTCAGGGATTTGTTGTTGACTACTTCATTGAACACTGATTACCTTCTTACTTTGCCAATCTATGTGGACTGGAAGAAGGCCGCTCAATCAAATGCGATAATATACAGGTTAATCATTGAACACTGGTTACCTTCTTACTTTGCCAATCTATGTGGACTGGAAGAAGGCCGCTCAATCAAATGCGATAATATACATGTTGATCGGCACCGGTGCTCATGTGCTTCATTATCATGTTAATTATAACGATATAGAAGTTATATCCGAAAGACCTGGAAGTTCTCACCATTTTTTATTATTATTTTCTTTTTTTATGGAACTTTGACCTTTTTCCCCAGAACATGAACCTGGTCAGGAATGCCGAATCCCAGTTTCAGCATTCCTAAAGTTAAGGTCCTTATGTCTGTTAGTGTAGTTCCTGACCATTTTCTCTAAATGGTTTTGCACCATCTTCTGTGTGCGCGCGCATGTGTGTGTTTGTTTTTCTTTTTTTTTTTAATTTTTTTTATGAGCAGTGATAGAGCCAGTGAAAAAATACAGTGACATCTTATAGTGACTGATGTGGACATTATATTTAAGGATAAAATTATAACTTTTGGGGGAGAAAAAAAATTTCTACGGGAAAGTGGCTACAAATAGGGGGATTATAATACTATTTTACCTAAAAATGTGGATACACCTCAGTCACTATAACTTTTCACTATACATTTTCACCATCCTTATCATTTTCCTTTTTTTATTTTCATCATTTTGTTTGAGGGTAGTACTGATTCAAACCTAATCACAAGAGTTGGTGACTGTTCATTCTTTTGTACTCAACAAAATATTATCTGACATCTTGTTTGTTCTAAAGTAGTTCAGTACTATTATAGGAAATGGATGACACACTAAAAAAGCCTAAGTTAATTGTTTCTCCTTTCCTCTTCTGATCAGTTTCTATAGGACTCTTCACATGAAACCTATTGTAATACAGGCGAGGTTATGCAACTGAGAGGCAAGAAGGTTTGCTAACTGGTGAAAAACTTGATTACTTGCAGTCAATGCTGTTACAGAGAATTTTATTTCTCATATCTAGACCACTGAAGAAATTTGGTATCTGCGTGTCTGAGGTAACTTGGCACCAGATTTTCTCTATTATATTTCCTGTCTACAATTTAACACTGATCAGAACCATATTATTTCGTCATATCCTTTCTCGCGTATTCGTTTTGTTGTTGAATGAAGGCTGTCATAAAAATGCTTACAGAAAAGAAGAGGGTTTCAGTATTTTTGTCACAGTAGTCTTGTATTTTCGACAGTTGATTGTATCAATGATGGTCACGTAGAACAAAATGGAGTGATCGTTTTTCTGTCAGTTATCAGACTTTGACTATTCCCTCTTGGCACTACTGCAGGCTCTTAAAAGCAACAAACAAATACAAGGTGATGGAATCTGGGCAGAGAATTGGAAAATCTGGTTAAAGAAATTGTCCTTCCTGCAACAGTCATATTCCAATAGCTTGTTCGAATCCGATAGTGATCAATCAGAAGCTGACCAAGTTGCATCATCATCTAGTTATCTTCCTCTTTGGTTAGCAGCTCAAAGAGCAGTAACTCGCTACGAAGGAATTCTGTCAACAGTCGGCCCCCGTGGCAGGCTCTTGAAGAGGTTGCTTACATGGATTGGAATTGCACCATCATCCGCGGAACAAGTCTTTGATCCAGTGATGGGATCTGTTGATGGTGACTCTCAATCTTATTCAAGGTAAAGAAAAATTTAATGAGGTCACCGTCTCGCGCATATGTTTATGCTTCAGCTGTAGAGCTAAAAGAATCAGCTATCTCATGTCTAGGACATTTGTTGTGGCTGTTACTATAAAAATAATTTGGAAAGTTTTGTTTTTAGTTAATGTCTGTGGCCAAATTCTGTTGGCTTTCACTTGTGCGGATCTTCGTAGTTCTGACTTTTATAAAGTTATCACGGTAATACAGATAACAACAGCGAATGTTTTATAAAGCACAAGTTTTAATGCACTAACTAAACTGCGCAGCATGTTTATTTACCACGAGTTATCTTCTCTCTCTCTCTCTCTCTCTCTCTCTCTCTCTCTCCCTGTTTTCAAATTATCTTTGAAATCTACATTTCTTTCTTACAGGTTGCATCATATACAGAGCTCCTTGGGACTTTCTAAATTTTTACTAGCATCTTACTGTATGATTTGCTGTAATGATTTCCGTCAGGCATCTTAAATCCCAAATGTGCCTTCTAGCATGCTTAATATGTACACTGAAACTGTGACGTTATTCAGTTTATCAAGGCCAATTTTCTTGTCAAGGATATCACTCAGTGATATATGGCGACCTGCTTCTCTAAAAAGTTGTGGAGATAATTTCTGGAAAATGTTGAAAACATCGATTACCATTCTTGTCTCGAGATCAACTCTCCAGGTAAATTTTTTAGGTGCTTTTATCAAATCATGTTGTTGTCTCTTTCCAGGAATTTGAGAAATTAATCTTTTCGTCTATGCAGTATTTTGAATTGCCTCTATGTGGATTAATAGATTCAATGTTTGACTTTTGAGGATGCTATCTGAAAGTTCAAGAGAATTTATTTTGGTTAGGAGCCAGCATTTAAAGAGTTAATTCTGTTCTATACAAAAAACACTGATGGAGCAGATGCTGACTTTCAATCGGAGGTTCCTCCCTTGGAGTTGAAGATTTATGAGAAAATTCCAATACCAGATTTACCAGTAAACATTTAATGGACATCTTACATTTGATTCATTGCTCTTTAGCCGGCATGTGTTTAAGAACTATTAATGTGTCATGCTTACTTTCTTTCTTTCTCTTTTTCTTTTAGGTTATTTTCCCTCACAAGAAGCTTTCTTTTCGGATTCTTGACACGGTATAGAGGAAATTTAGTTTTCATGACCCACTCTTTGTCAGGGGGTGAAAGTCATTGTCCATGTTTGCATAGATTTAATACTGATTTTGAGCTCTTTGTACTGAGAACAATGTTCTTGTAGGTACGCTTGGATGTGGCTACTATTTTGGGACTTTTAGCATACTTCATAAACTATAAGTTCGAGGATATTTTGTCTTCTCCGTGAGTATTTCAGATCAGACTGTGTCTTTCTTACATTCTCCTCATGTGCATGCCTGGTTAATTTTTTCTTTCTGTAATAAACTTTGGCTTCTTCCTTGCCACTTTTTTCACATGCATATCTTGTAAATAATAAAAATGAAACAATGGGCCAAAACCATGATGTATTACTCACTACGGACTAGTGTCAGATATAACTCAGTTGTTTGCCATTTTGCATAAGTAAATGGATCCACTGATGTACTGATGATAAAATTTCTCTAGTATGTGGAGAGGTTCATGTTTTAGTATCTGGATTTTGCAGATCGGCGGTGCTTTTAGATGTGATTGCAGTTAGTGCACTTGCGATTTATATGTTCCGGGTGGTATTGGGTTACAAACAAACATGGGACAGATACCAAGTGAGTGTAACACATTTTCAGATCTTTGTCTGGCATTCCTTATTGTGATGTTTTTTTCTCCCTCACATACTTTCAGCTTCTTGTTAATAAGACACTTAATGAGAAAACTGTCGCGAGTGGCTTTGGTTCTGTTCACTTCCTTTTGGATGCATCTCAGCAACAGCAAGTAAGAGCTTTTAATTCATCTTGACTGTATTTGATAAAACTGGAGTGAAGTTTAGACCCCTTCATTTGGCTGGCGATATGAGACATGTCATCCGGAATTCATTTTAATTTCTCTGAGGTTGCTTGCAGTACAAGGAAGCAATTCTGGCATATGCAATCCTATTGAAAGTAGAGAAATGTCAGGTTTGTTCTTATTGACTTATCCAGCGAAATATACATTCTTGAGGTGTCTTAAATTTAGGCTAAAGTAAGTAAAAAAAAAGAAAAAAAAAGACCAGTAGGTCTGCTACCCCCCAAAAAAAAAAAAAAATAAAAGAAGAAGGTAATGTCTTGAAAATGTATAATTTACCGTGAATTCGCATCACACACGAAGAGAAGTTAGTTTTCTTACCTCATCCCTCAAACGCTCAAAATATTACTTCTTAATTGTGAACCATGAAAAAGTTATAATATCATTTGGGAAGTCGGTGTCAATGCAGATGGCTTCTGCAAGGAGTGTCGGAGAAGAGTGTGAGAAATTTATCTACGAGGTTTTCAAGGAAAAGGTAAAATTTTACTGAGAAAAGGGAGATGACTTTAATTTTGTTTTGCTTTTGGAGTTTTTGGTTTGTATTGGACGAAGATCATGTTGAGCCTGTTTTTTGGTCTTTGTTTGCGCCAGATTGAGATGCCAATTGAAAAGGCAAAGGAGACATTGGTTAGGCTAGGACTTGTGACAGCAACACCTATTACTGCTATTAGAGGAGAAGAATATGAAGTGTTAGAGGCAGTTCCCTGCTCTAAGGCTGCTCAGATTCTTGGACAAAAATGGAATTGCCTGCTTTCTTGACTCGTGTTTGTAAATGCATTATCCCTGTAAATCTTTTTTTTTTTTTTTCCCCCTATTCTACATGAGAAAGAGAAGGCTACAATTCAGGATTATTTTGTTAAGTCAACAGCCTCTGAAATCCTCAGCAGATGATGTTTTTGAACAAGGCCAAGGATAAATTTGGTACAAAAGATGCAGACTAGTACAGTTACCTTTCTTCCGCGAAGACTAGTGGAGTTACTGAAAATGAGAGATACAAGCAGCAGTGTTTGGGATTCATAAAAATATATAATTCCAGGTGGGAAAGAGAAGTCTCGTTTGTTTTTGGACTTCAAATGATGATAATGCAAATTGATGCATTTGATCAGATGATGAAATTCAAGAGGAAATCCTATTTGACTCATTCAACAGCATAAGTTTTAAAACATCGAAAATATTGTCGTCTTTTTTATTGGTGAGGGTTATCAAAATAAAATATACTCTCTCTGTCCCACAAAAATAGTCCACATTGAATTTTGAGTTTTATACTGTTTTTAGTACAAATTTGAAAACTCAACGTGGACTACGGAGATAGTATTAATTACCTAATATTAGTACCATGAAATAATAATTGTTAAAATGGTACAAGACCATAAATACCAACGTTGTCGACTTCAAGAAAAACATAGTCGAGAATCATATCTGGACGACAAAGATGATCCTGCGCTTTTGTGTCTCTCAGGGGGTGGAAGAAAGGTACTTTCTATTCTCTTTTTTGGGTTTTTGAAAAGTGAATCAAAATAACTTCAAAATTCAAGCTTCGAATGCTCTTTTGTTGACCTGATCGTCGACATTTTGTTCTCGATGATAAAATCCATGTAATAATATGTATATAGTGTAAGCAAATCAATCCTAACGCAGTGGGGACTGATTTATGCCAAGATCACTTTGTATTATGAATAATATAAACAGTTCATAATTGTGTACCTTTAACAGTTACTCCAGTAATCACGATCAACACACGGTGAAGTTTGATCACAAAATTGTTTAAGTGTCCAACCTCTAACGGTATCTACACAAACAATTCTTGGGACACAAACACAAGGCATGACGGTTAGTGTTCTGGATTATAACTAGGGTTTTTAGAATTGACAGATTAATTCCAGACTTATCCCAATTAATTGTCCTATTGTGTGTGATCCTTTAGGTTCCTAAAACATGTTAGCAATAAATATAAATTCTAATCCTAGTATTAATTGGTTTTTGGACATAAACCGACAAACTCCCACTTGGACTAAAGACAATTAGTCATGAGAATTTTAGGATTAAAAATTTATATTTATAGATAAAAAATGGCCTCTAGCCAGGCATCATGACTACCAAGTGTTAGGAAAAGCCATGTGATCGACTTCACCTTTCTATGCACAGATTTCGTGTAATTATTATCCTTTCATCATCTTATATCCATATTAGTTCAAGAGTAAGGATAATGCTAACTCTGTATGAACTAATCAATTCTTTCTTGTTCCATAAATATAACTCATTTGAAGTTGAAATTAGAACAATTTTAAAATCTTTTGTAGTTTGCGCAAACATTTCAGAGTCATAATTCCAACAAGTGGTCATTAAAGGATATACTCTTCTATATTAGAAGTGGTGAATCTTTTATTGATCATAAACTTCTTTCCATGTTTCATACTACACTCAACTCTAAAAGCACACATAACCGACTAAGGTTAAGGATCAAAAGAGCTAGAACATAGTAATCCACACTCCGGAGACTCTTATAATCTCAAGTTAAAGGATCACTTACACTACCGCCATGTAGATATTATTTCCATTAGCACTCAAATAGATTACCTTATGAAAATCTCTAAGTAGGTCAATCCAATATACTTGTTCTCCAACAAGCATCCACGTATTTACCTTTGTGTCGCCACACAATAGTCAATGAGATCTACTAACTCTTACTTTAAGAGTAAGCAAAACAAATGCTAGTCTATTCATATTAACAATATCCCATCTTTTTAATACTATGACTAGGGATAGTTTAAGAATAATATCTTGTATGAAGAATCTCATTATCACAACTCTTATGATTTCTTCTATAGTAATATCATTCTAAGGATTTTACCATTTATTTATGTATTCCCACTGTCCCAAAATTATTGTCCAGTTTGATATTTCACTTTTAGTACAATTTGAACTAAAAATGAAAACTCAAATGGACAATAATTATGGGACGGAGGGAGTAATTAAACAAGTAAAATGAATGATAAAGAATTCTGTATGTCCATATTGCATAAAGTATGAAAAAATATCAAAATTAATTGATTTTCGTCCATACATTGAATAAAAATCTTCCACTTGGACTAAAAACAACTGATAACACTTTTACCCTGAGAGAAAAGTTATTCAATGAGAATTTCTATTTGGAATCATTGATCAAGTATGAAATTATAAAACCACACACATCATTGGATCATTAACTCTTACGTTTAGGGTTTAGGGTTTAGGGTTAAGGGTTGAGGGTTGAGGGTTGAGGGTTCAGGGTTCAGGGTTGAGGGTTCAGGGTTCAGGGTTCGGGGTTCCGGGTTCGGGGTTCCGGGTTCGGGGTTCGGGGTTCGGGGTTTAGGGTTCGGGGTTTAGGGTTTAGGGTTTAGGGTTTAGGGTTTAGGGTTCAGGGTTTAGGGTTTAGGGTTTAGGGTTTAGGGTTTAGGGTTCAGGGTTTAGGGTTTAGGGTTTAGGGTTTAGGGTTCGAGGTTCTGTGGTTCGGGGTTTAGGGTTCGTGGTTCGTGGTTTAGGGTTTAGGGTTTAGGGTTCTAGGGTTCTAGGGTTCAGGGTTCGGGGTTTAGGGTTTAGGGTTTAGGGTTTAGGGTTTAGGGTTTAGGGTTTAGAGTTTAGGGTCCAGGTCCGTGCCCAGGCCCAGGGCCCAGGCCCAGGCCTGGGGCCCAGGCCCAGGCCCAGGCCCAGGCCCAGGTCCGGTGGCCCAGGGCCCAGGGCCCAGGGCCCAGGCCCAGGCCCAGGCCCAGGCCCAGGCCCAGGCCCAGGTCCGTGGCCCAGGCCTGGGCCCAGGCCCCCAGGCCCAGGGCCCAGGCCCCAGGGCCCAGGGCCCAGGGCCTGGGCCCAGGGCCCAGGCCCAGGCCCAGGGCCCAGGCCCAGGGCCCAGGCCCAGGCCCAGGCCTCAGGCCCAGGCCCAGGCCCAGGGCCCAGGCCCAGGCCCAGGCCCAGGGTCCAGTGCCCAGGCCCAGGCCCAGGCCTAGGCCCAGGCCCAGGCCCAGGCCCAGGGCCCAGGCCCAGGCCCAGGGCCCAGGGCCCAGGGCCCAGGCCCAGGCCCAGGGCCCAGGGCCCAGGGCCCAGGGCCCAGGCCCAGGCCCAGGTCCAGGGCCCAGGCCCAGGCCCAGGGCCTAGGCCTAGGCCCAGGTCCAGGCCCAGGCCTGTGGCCTAGGTCCAGGTCCAGGCCCAGGTCCGTGTCCGTGGCCTAGGGCTCAGGCCTAGGGCCTGGCCCAGGCCCAGGGCCCAGGGCCCAGGCCTAGGGCCCAGGCCCAGGTCCGTGGCCCAGGGCCCAGGGTCCAGGTCCAGGGCCCAGGGCCCAGGCCCAGGGCCTAGGCCTGTGGTCCAGTGTCCGTGGTCCCAGGGCCTAGGCCTCAGGGCCCAGGCCCAGGGTCCAGGCCCAGTGTCCAGGGTCCAGGTCCAGGCCTAGGCCCAGTGGCCCAGGCCCAGGGCCCAGGCCCAGGCCCAGGGCCCAGGCCCAGGCCCAGGCCCAGGGCCCAGGCCCAGGCCCTTGCCGTGGCCCAGGCCTCAGGCCCAGGCCCAGGCCTCAGGGCCCAGGCCCAGGTCCAGGCCTTAGCCCAGGCCCAGGGCCCAGGCCCAGGCCGTGGCCCAGGCCCAGGCCTAGGCCCAGGTCCGGTCCGTGGCCTAGGCCTAGGCCCCAGGGCCTAGGCCCAGGCCCAGTGGCCTAGGGCCTAGGCCCAGGCCTGGGGCCTAGGCCCTGGCCCAGGGTCCGTGTCCAGGGGCCAGGCCCAGGTCCAGGGCCCAGGCCCAGGGCCCAGGGCCTTAGGCTCAGGGCCTAGGGCCCAGGCCCAGGGCCCAGGTCCGGGCCCAGGCCCAGGGCCCAGGCCCAGGCTCCAGGGCCCAGGCCCAGGCCTAGGCCCAGGCCCAGGCCCAGGCCCAGGCCCAGGGCCCAGGCCCAGGGCCCAGGCCCAGGGCCCAGGCCCAGGCCCAGGCCCAGGCCCAGGCCCAGGGCCCAGGCCCAGGGCCCAGGCCCAGGCCCAGGGCCCAGGGCCCAGGCCCAGGGCCCAGGGCCCAGGCCCAGGCCCAGGCCCAGGCCTAGGCCCAGGCCCAGGCCTCAGGCCCAGGCCCAGGCCCAGGCCCAGGCCCAGGCCCAGGCCCAGGGCCTGGCCCAGGCCCAGGGCCCAGGCCCAGGCCCAGGCCTAGGCCCAGGCCCAGGCCCAGGGCCCAGGCCCAGGCCCAGGCCCAGGGCCCAGGCCTAGGGCCCAGGGCCCAGGCCCAGGCCCAGGCCCAGGCCCAGGCCCAGGCCCAGGCCCAGGGCCCAGGCCCAGGCCCAGGCCCAGGCCCAGGCCCAGGCCCAGGCCCAGGGCCCAGGCCCAGGCCCAGGCCTAGGGCCCAGGCCCAGGCCCAGGGCCCAGGGCCCAGGCCCAGGCCCAGGCCCAGGCCCAGGGCCCAGGCCCAGGGCCCAGGCCCAGGCCCAGGGCCCAGGCCCAGGCCCAGGCCCAGGCCCAGGCCCAGGGCCCAGGGCCCAGGCCCAGGCCCAGGCCCAGGCCCAGGCCCAGGCCCAGGCCCAGGGCCCAGGCCCAGGCCCAGGCCCAGGCCCAGGCCCAGGCCCAGGCCCAGGCCCAGGCCCAGGGCCCAGGCCCAGGCCCAGGCCCAGGCCCAGGGCCCAGGCCCAGGCCCAGGCCCAGGCCCAGGCCCAGGCCCAGGCCCAGGCCCAGGCCCAGGCCCCCAGGCCCACAGGCCCAGGCCCAGGCCCAGGGCCCAGGCCCAGGCCCAGGCCCAGGCCCAGGCCCAGGCCCAGGGCCCAG